GCCCTATGACTGTTGGAGAATCAGAATTCAATAAGTCATCTTCATCTGTTTTCACAGTACAGAAATGGAATGGGGGGAATTTATAAAATGTAGAAATCATAGACATTTCAAAATGCATATTTGTAAGAGAAACAGTTAAAAGAACCCTTTGAAGTATCTTCTACCCATACATCTTCCCATGTTTCAAAGTGATGATCCCAAGCACTATTTTAAGCAAATCCAGGTAACCTATAAAAAACTGAGTTTGCTATTGACATTAATACCAGGAATTTATGACTTAGAAACACTGTCACAGGACTGCCTGTTACCACCCTGGCACTCTATGCCAACTTTGTCCATTCTTAAATTGAACTCTCTGATCCTGAAACATATCTTATGCCCCAAAGTTAAATGTCTCTGTGTTTCTTTCCATATCTTTTTTGCATTTTATTTTGCTTGAACTTGCCCCAGCCTTTTTTTAAGAGAATGAAGTGTTTTAAGAATACGTTTTTCACACCCAATTCTTTTTGAATCAGAGGTGGCAATTTGTGAACTGAAGAGGAAAGAATCATTAAGGGAGGCACACAGGAAGGTCAGGAGCTGAGCTAAGCCCCAGGTGAACTTGGGTCTTAAAGTGATGGAGACACACAGTGACCTCCTCTGGGTGTCCTGTTTAAAGTGTGCTCAGCTCAATATGGTCCAACTGGTGACTTCTCGGCCTTCTTCACTGACCTTTTTTATGCCATGAAGGTGGAAGTCCGTAGGACTGGAGTCTTCCAGAATATAGCCTATTACCCTCAAGAGGTTCCACTCATCACATGCCCTTTGAGGTTTCTAAGCGCTCTGTCTGTCTTCCACTCTGTCAGATAGATGATGCCCTGGCCTCTTTCTCTGACCACCTTGGTTCTTTCAATGACTCCCTTCCTTCCCAACACTCAGCTGGGGAAGCTGGTCAAGGCCTAGTGAATTCTTACAACGTCCTAATTATCAGAACATGCTCCTTTACCCTCCACTCCCGCTGAAATAATTCCCTGTGCTCTCTCCTCCTTGTTTCTTTGATTAAAGAAGCACTTGAGCTTTCTGTGCTTTTCTCTACACATTTCCATGTCACACACCCCTGCTGACATTCTGCTTCCCCATCCGGCTTGGGACATGCCTGCAGGAAGGTGGCAGCCTTCCCTGTCACAGCCACTGTGTTTTCATTTGGGGGATTTGCATAAACACACTGTTTTGTTATCTCTGTTGTTCCCTTTTCTTTCATAATTGACTGGGCTGCATGCTTTCTTCTTGCCAGGTCGGCAGAAATCAGCAGCGGATCAGGATTTTGGATTGGAACAATTTCCCCTTGGCTCTGTTCTTTACGGTGGAGTAGTTTCCTCTAGTGAGACTCAGTCCTTGGGGTGGCCTCTTGCTTTTAAGAAGAAAATTTCTTTTACATCTCATATTCGTCTTGAAAGAATTCAAAAGGCAGCACTCCACCCTCTACACTGAGTGTAATTTCCATCCCAGTCTTTATTACAGGGTCATTATCATGACAGTGTATCCATTAATCCCATCAAGGGAAGGACTTGGTAGAGGTGCCTCATACAGACAGGCCTTGCTTTCCTGTGTTAGTCTTCCCTTTGATCCTGTTGTTGCCAACTCCTAGGTTTCTGTATCCTGGTCCTCACACCCCGGGAATGGTTTTTTGAAGTCTTTCCTGCTGTTCTTTGCTCCTTGGAACTCTCCTGACCTGTTGCTTTTGGGAACAAAACAAGCTTTGCTCCTCCAACTGTTCTACCTTTCTCACTACCCAAGGAGTTACAATTATTCACACTTGCTTTCCAAATTTTCTGCTAACTTGGATCTTTCTTCTTTTTTTTTCATTGTTTATCTCTTTGGGGGGCCCACCACCCAGCTCCCAAATAATCCATGGTGACTTATTATTACTTATAAATGCCCAGCCTCAGCTTGGCTTTTCTTGTTTCTAGCCAGCTTTTCTTAAATTATCCTGTCGGGGTTGGGGATTTAGCTCAATGGTAGAGCGCTTGCCTAGCAAGCATGAGGCCCTGGGTTCAGTCCTCAGCTCTGTTAAAAAAAAAAAAAAAAAAAAATTATCCTGTCTACCTTTTGCTGCTTGACTTTTATCTTTCTAGAACTGCTCTATATACCTTTCTTTACTTCTTACTCTGTGGCTTACTGTGTAGATGGGTGGCTCGCCTCTGATGTCCTCCTCTCCTTCTCCTTTTCTCACTCCTCCATCTCTCTTTTTCTTCTTCTATTTATTCTCTCTACTTGCCAGCCCCACCTATTTCTCTCTCCTGCCATTCAGCTCTTTGTTTGACCACTCAGCTATTTTAAACAGGCAAAGTAACACAGCTTCTCAGTTAAACAAATGCAACATAAAAGAATGCAACATATCTTTGCATCATTAAACAAATGTTCCATAGCATAAACAAATGTAACACATCTTCAACTAATACTCCACAATGTTTTCTATTTTTTTCTCAGTTTTCTCAGACAGTTGTGATGTGCTGTTTTTATCGTCAGCAATGGAACAAAGAGAATCATGTATATTTGATAGGTCACTTCTCTTACAGAGCAAATTCATGGGAGTGAACAATTTACATTGTATGAGCCAGGCTATGCAGTAGACTGGATGATGCAAACTCATACTATTACTAAAAGTGAAGTTCATGTGACCAGAGAACAGGATTGCTATACCATTGAGTCTATTTTGTCAGGGTTTCTATGTGATTCAAATCATCATGGTATTCTCTACTCTATGGGGAGTATACCATAGCATCCAGGCACCATGCTAGTCCCATGAGGAGATCCTGTTGATGTGCTGTGATGATGTATTGTGTACCCCAATAAAGCTTACCTGGGGATCAGGGGACAGAGCCAGCCACTAAGTTAGACGTAGATGTCAGTGGTGGCACACACCTTTAATCCTATCGCTCGGGAGGCAGAGATCCGTCTGGATCTCTGTGAGTTCAAGGCCACATTGGGCTACATGAGAGAAACAGAACCAGGCAGTGGTGACACACGCCTTTAATCCCAGGAGGTAATATGGCAGGACACAGGAAGGGATATAAGGCGTGAGGAACTGGGATTCGCTCTCTTGAGGCTGAGGATTTTGTAGAGGTAAGCTAGTGGCTGGCTGTTCTGCTTCTCTGATCTTTCAGCGTTCACCCCAGTATCTGGCTCCGGTTTTTTTTTTTTTATTGTAAGACCTTTTAAGATTCATGTTACAGTGTGACACATTCCACCTCTGTCCCTTCACAGATCACCACGGTCCAGGCACCGAGGGAAAGAGCTCAGGTAGAGAGCTGCCACTCCTCCACTCACTCGGTCCCTCTTCCAGTGGATTCTTGAGTAGTCCTTTGACAACAAACACGAGGCCAACTCACATTCAGAGCACCATACACACTCACTACCCTGGCCTGTACGGCATCCTTCTGGCACCACATTGTATGCTACATCTCCTGTGGAATTTCCAGCCTTCCCTAGGTGCCCTGCCCAGGTATAGTCCGTTTGCCTGGCCTGGCTAGGTGGTCTGTGTCCTTCTTTGGTTAGTGCAGTTCTGCATGCATCCTACATGTACCTCCACCTGGTAACCGCAACAAATCATACTCTTCCATTAAACTTCCTCTCCAGGAAATCTTCCTACACCCTTGCCTTCTCTTCCCTTTTAGAGCAATAGAGACGGTGTTTTCTCATTACAGCATATGGACAGCTATGCAGTAATGTTATTATTACGGCATGTGGACAGATATGCAGTGAATGTCCTGGTTTTCCCCTTTAAATTGTAACTTCTGACAAAAAGGGTGTCAAATCAGTGAGTGCTTAAATGAAGGGTCTGTCACATGACCCTGCTTATTGACAACACAATCTTATATTCTCCAACTGAAACAATATTCTATCTTGTTTCCTTGTTCCTCTAACTCTGTTAAGTTACCACTTGCTCAAACATCCATCACTGATGTTGGGCTATGTGATCTTTGCTATAAAAGCTCTGAGGTAAAGATACATGTACCTGTGGGTCATTCCTCAGCCCAGGGTTCATTCCCAAATGTTCTGAGAAACACTTCCTTGCTAGTTGTATGTTTACCTGTAAGAAGTTAATGGTGTATATAGATATTTGCTATGTATTTAATGTAGTTTTAATATATATTAGTTATACAAAAAAATGGGCTTCATTATAACACTTCCATGCATAAATATAATACAATTAGATTAGTCTGAGCCCATAGCAATCATCTTGTTCCAATTTGTAGTTTCCATATTCAACCTTCTTAGTGAAAAAAATGTTACTGCAACATGTTTATAATGGTCTGTGTGTTTTCTTTTCTTTTAAATTATTTCTTTTATTTTTTGAGATGATAATTACATCATTTCTCCTTTCCTTTGCTCCCTCCAAACTTTCACATATACCCTTCCTTTCTTTCTTTCAAATGTATGCCCAGTTTTTAATTAATTAATGTTACTTGTGTGTGTGTTTGTGACTGCGTGTGTGTATGAATATATTCCTAAGTATATAAATACAACCTACTGAGTCCATATAATGTTTCTTGTATGTATGTTTTCAGGACTGACCATTTGGTATCAGATAACCAATTGCTGTGCTCTTTCCTGGGGAAGATTATTTCTCCATCTCTCAGTATTCCTTGGTTGCATAAGGTTTTTTACATAGGATTGAGGCCTCATGAGCTTTCTAAGGCAGTTATATGAGAAGCATGGAATGGGTTAATTTTATTTATTTTCCTATATGTATTCAAGCGCAATTCAAGATTAACTCATGTTTGTCAAAAAAAGACGTATTTAGAAGGTATAATTTGATGCACACTTACTTTAGAAAATACTATGCATTGAACAAATGTCTGGGTATAGCTATAAGGTCAACGATTTCATTGCTACCTTTGGGCAACACTGGAAAAAGACTGCTTTTTTCTTTTCCTGCCAGACATAGTATATCCATGCTCACCATCCCTCTTGCCTTTAGGACTTCTCAATGTGTTCCTTATGCTTTTGATTTTCAGGAGGAATGTCAGAACTATATCAGAGTGCTCTTAGTGGGCGGGGACCGGCTATTCACCTGCGGGACCAATGCTTTCACACCTGTCTGTACCATCCGCTCGGTATGTTTCCACACTAAGCTTCAACAAATTTACACCAGGAGCAGCAAGACCTGATGCCTTCAAGGCCCCATGTAAACGTGTTCCTGTATACAAAGGCCAAGTACCTTTTGCAACATTGTAGCATCCATTAAATACTTGACTTGTTCACTTCTAATCAGCTATGACAGTCATATATATGAAGAAACAGAAATTAATTGTATATTATATACTATTTTCCCTATAAATGGCCTTAAGTACTAATCATAAACATATACTCCTTTCCTATTTTCATTGTAGTAGAAGTATTGTCAGTTACAAAAGTGCTCCAAAAATCACAATTCATATAGGAAGAAAATATATATAAACTGGATAGGAGGTATGCCAAACATAAAATAAAGAAACATATGCACAAACAAAGTAAAGGTAGAACTGTTGTTATAGACCGGGAGTTTCATCTTACAAGTCCCACTGTAGAAGCATGGCAGGGTCATTAGACATGCATGCTATCTTCTTAATTAAGGATATTAATTTAATCTTCCTTGAGAAATATAACTAGGAAACACCATTATGTTAATTTATGGATAGTAAAACAACTTCTCTTAAAACCCCAACTTATCATCTAGGCTTGGTGTTCATTATTTTAAAATTTATGTTCAGTTATTGGACAGAAGGAGGAGGAGGATGGTAAGTGCTGACCACAAACAGTTCCCTCCTTGCCATATGTGGCTGTCAGCATGGGACCCCATTGTAAACACCTCATCCTCAACATCTACACCAAGAGGCTGTTACTTTGGGGGGCGTAGTTTTTAAAACATAAAGACTTAAAGACTTTATGTAACTTCCCTAGGACCATGTTTCCAACATCAGAGGACAGAGTGAGCTTGCTATTCCTGCATAAGCCATCTTAACTATTTTTTTAACTCAGTTAAAAGTCAAGAACCAAATTGACATTGAGCCTTGTCAAATATCAAAATACCAAATAAGCGAACAACAACAACTTTTCTCATGTCTTATTAGTTGGCAACCAGTATTTGACAAGCCAAGCTGACACTTGACATGCATGCAGCTTTCTCAAGACTAAAAAAGGGGAAAAGAAGAAAAAAAAGAAATTTGTAGTACATGGTACAGAACATTGACATATGCTTATCACTAAATAGTACTTAGGGCTAGCTTTAAAAAAATTGTCAGAGTAATACCGTGAAGATACTTCCTTATTATGATTCACATATCTATAAATATTAATACTTTGCTTCTCACATACCACAGAGTGTACCTGGGACACACTTGTCTAGCAGTAGTATAAGGTGGAGACCCCAGAGTGTACCTGGGATACACATGTAGCAGTAGTGTAAGGTGGAGGACATGAGCACATCCAATGGGATTTCTCAAGGATAACTAGTTTCCCTCTCATTTTCACCAATAGTTAAGTAACCTGACTGAGATCCATGATCAGATCAGTGGCATGGCCCGCTGTCCCTACAGTCCCCAGCACAATTCTACAGCTCTGCTCACAGCCAGTGGGGAGCTCTATGCTGCAACAGCCATGGACTTCCCAGGGCGAGATCCAGCCATATACAGAAGTCTGGGCACTTTACCTCCTCTCCGGACTGCACAGTACAACTCCAAATGGCTCAATGGTAAGTTGTTCATTCACCCTAGCCTCCTGTTGCGGTGATTATAATCCCTGGCCAGTTGTTGCTTGAAAATACAGCAGAACAAAATCTTCATCTTCAAGGTATAATATATTTAGTTGTGATAATTAGCAGTATATTCTTTAGTATCAGGAGGAGTGATATTTCTAATGCCATAAGCCTCAATAATAGGCCTAGATTGTCAGCTGATGCTGACAAGACCACTCATGGGTGTTAAGCTGTTTCTTCCTATGTTGTTTGAAATATAGGAAATCAAATGCTGTGTCATAGACACATGTAGGCTAATGTGTCTTCTTTCTTAATGTCTGCTTAATATATTTTGAACCAGAAATTTCTTGACATTTTCAGACAGTATAAAGATTCCATTTGCCACAAGTAACTCCAAATAATTGACAATTAAAAAATGCCATCAATGTATGTATCTATCACTTTGGGGCAAGCATCTTCAGAATTTAATTCAATGCCTTGAGAGTTCATCAGAACGCAAGTCTTGTCACTTTGAATTCTGCCAACCACAGCCTGACAATTGACCATCAAAGCAGCTTTGCTCAGCTTACGGATGCAGAATCATCACTATAAGTTCAAACTTATTTCCAGATGTGGAAATATCCCCTAGAAGAAGTACCACACTTGTGCCTATTTCTCTTTTAAGAAACTGGAAACTGGACTACCAAGTGAGTTCCAGAAAAGGCACAAAGTTACACAGAGAAACCCTGTCTCAAAAAAGAGAGAGAGAGAGAGAGAGAGAGAGAGAGAGAGAGAGAGAGAGAGAAAGAGAAATAAGAAACTGGAAACTAACAGAAAGTACCAGTCAATTCAAGCAAGAAACAAATAATCTGTTAAGTAAACACCCAGAAAATGGAGAGAGGCAGCTGCACAGATGTGAGTTGCTGTATGCAAGTCCTGTGTGCTAGCAAAAACCATCCCAGTGTGTGTGTGTGTGTGTGTGTGTGTGTGTGTGTGTGTGTGTGTGTGGCCACACTCACAAGGGTGGTGTCTACCACACTGTGTAACTCATCACCTCAGCCTTTATTTGACAGTTTGCACAAAGGTGTAATCTTGACTTTGCTAGTATAATACTTGTCTTGCTCTTTCAAGATCTATAAGGATTTAGTGGCCTTATTCCCATCACAAATTATATATGTAGATAAGAGTCCCTCTCCCTCATTGATTCTGCTTGTCTGTTCAGATAATTCTTTGTTATGGGAAAGGTATTGTCTTTGTGAAGGTTGTTTAGTGTCATTTGTGATCTCTGCCCATTAGAGCCTAGTAATTCTTCCCCTCTTTGTAAGTTATAAAGCAAAAATAAATACATTATCAAATATTGTCCAGGGGAAGTTGTCTCCTTTTGAGAACTATTGACTTTTACCTAGGAATATTTAACATCCATCTGTCTTTGTGTATCTATGTATCTATTATCTACCCGTCATCTATCCATCCATCATCTTTCCATCATCCATCATCTGTCTGCCATTTATCTCTCACAAGTAATTGCTGAATAATACAGTCAAGCTGAGCACCATAGTTTATCTTTAGAACACCCTCATAGGAAAGCTGTGCCACCATCACTGTGGATCTAGTAGCTTGGCTGACTCAATTGTTTCCAAAAAGCAACGTGAATGGTTTTCTGAACCGAGGCAGTAACTAGACTTCCCTTGTTAACACCTCCTCTTTTAATTCATTTCAACTTAGCCTACCTACTCCTTGTGGACAGTCCTCTATTGTCCTTGAAGCCTTTATTGGGGTATCTTAAAGTTGCTTTCCTATGTATGGGCAATTTTCACTAGCTGAACAATGTATAGCGTTGAAAATCAACTAACTTTCTTGTACTGGCCAGCCACTTTGATTTGGGTCTTTCTTCAAATACTCACTTCTCCATGGAACGTCATCCTGGTCATGTAATTTAGAATTGCACCCTTTGCTCTCTCGCCCTCATGCCTCTTTACCATGTCCAGTGTTGACCCTTTGCCATTATGATATCTTACCATTTTTCTCCCATCTTTCAACAAAAGCGGCATTCACCAATCATTGGAGTTAATCTCTCTCTTGTATAGTGGTTTATTTTATACTTTCAGAGGAATGTAATAAGTGTTTGGTTGATGATATTTGGATAAATGAATTAATGGATGACATATTCTATGTTCGAGAAATCACAGATTAAAATCTTATTCCTCTACTTTCCATGTGAAATGTCTGGAAGATGACTGAGTCCTGAAGGTGGGGCCCTCATGAAGGTATTAGTGCCCTCTTAAAAGAGGCTGCAATGGAGAGAGCTGCTTCTTCCATCATGTGAGATGTGTGAACTTGGAAGTAAGCCTTCATCCATATGAAGTATGCTGGCACCTTGACCGGCAGTGTTTAGATCCAGACCTTTGGGAAACAAATTTCTGTTCTTTATAATAAGCCCCTTGGTGTTTTTGCCATAGCAACATGAACAGAGTGGAAAAATAAATAAAACGGATAATTGACTCTTTTGTTTCCCTTATTAGTTTGTGAATTTCTTGAGGGCCAGGGTTAGGTAGGAGTCATCTTTGTGGGCTTGGTACCTTAGGCTTAGTCAGTGGTTGTTAAATGAGTAGGAGATAAGAACATTTCATAAACAGAAGGATGAATGGTGTTGTTACATAAGGCAAAATACTGCAGTTGGCAACCTAGAATCATAAAGAAAACAAAAAACTCAAAAGGAAACAACCACCACCAAAACAAGAACAGTCTGTTTCGAAGTGATTCAGGTCCAAACATTTGAAGATGTTCCTCTTCACCCCTTCCCATCTGCCCCCACTTCAGTCATCACATCCGCGCTTATCAAAGCCAGCGTCATCGGCTGAATGACACTGTGCAGGCACCTGGAACATTACATTGCGGGTTTGATAGTGAACATAATTTTCAAAACCAGATTTGTTCCCTCTGTGCCAAAATTACTCTTAAAACAAATTTATGTGTTTAGAGACATTTCTTAACAGCTTTAATACATTAAAATATTAATCATTACTAACCCTTATTAAATGATTACTGTAAGGCAGGGCAATAAATGTTTAATGGCCAAAGCCTAAAATAGAAGCTATAAAACTTGCCTTCATGAAAGTGACTGTCAAATTGGGGAAACAGTAAACCTATGAAAAAGAAAAGGAGAGAGTATGTCTAAAGGAATACCATGCAATTGTGTTTGTAAACTGAAGTGATTGTATGTTTGCTACCTCTGAGTGGGCTTTGAAAAGTCACCATGACACTAGTGTGGATGTTAGTATATTAACACTCAGGGACTTGCTAGTTTTCCTCCTCTGAGGAATCATTTGCCTGCCCCACTTACTGGTCATGCAAATTCCTGAGTTTCTCCACCTGATTACCTCCAGAGGACTCAATTGAGATCCACAAACATCTTCATGGTGAAAGTATCATGTTCTGTGAGGTGGCATGTTTCTAGTCCAGAAAAGTTTTTGAGTGTCTGTCTTGAACCCTCCTGGTTTGGCGTACATCTGTGATGCTCCCCATTGTGATTTATCTGTGATGCTCACCAAGACTTTGGTAGACCCATTGGAGACGTTAAAAATAGTAATTAAATTTTAATAATTAGAGATAATTTTCTTGGAGGAAGAAGATCTCTGTACATATGTCAAGGAGCAATAGTTTCTGCCTACCCCTGTAAAGGATTGGTGCCTGCCCTGTAAAGTCTGTGCTAGCTCCTGGTAGCCATTGTGTCTAGACTGGGCTCTATTCAGGGAACAATGAGGGTCTGCCTTGTAGTGTCTATACAGGGAAGTGTTCCAATGAGGAAAATACCTTGGCCTTCTAGGTTGACACCACTGGCTGCAGCTAACAAATTCCAAATAAAAGCAGAGTATAGAAACCAAGGAACACACGACAGAGAGGATTTGGTGGGTAAAATTAAATGAAAAACCCAAGTTACTGTCAAGAGAAAGAAAAACACTATAAGACGAGACTAAAAACAGATTCCATAGTCACCTATATAGTTGTTAATATATGCCTAGGGCAATGTTTAAAATGGACCTTGCTGTGTGCCGAGCTCTCTCTTTAGCCATATGGCTCCTGAAACTTAAACTGGGTAGGGCACCATGACAGGGTCTCAACATGTATCACATATGTGACACACAATAGTACAATGACTTTTTTCTACTGTTCATGCCTAATCTTGTTCATCAGAATGATGTATCAAGATGAATGTGCTGTGCAGAATCCATTTATTTTGGAAATCCTTGCAAATTATATATGATTATCCTTATAATGTACAAAAAATATCTTAATAAATTCTCTTTCTGCATAATCTGCCTGTTGGTGCTCCTGCTGCAGACTTGTTACCATACAAGGTACATGATAAAAATCCCAAAGGCTGGGTAGAACACTCCAGTTAGAAAGGACACCCCACATCTAGTTCATCAGCAGTCTTCTGCAAAGGAGATCCTGTCCCCCAGTATCCAGATGGCACCTGAACCACACCCAATGACAACCTAGGATTTGAAAACAGATCCCACCTAATATCCTGTACTCCATACCTACCACATCAAACCAACCTCCTTTGTGTTTAGACTACACATTAGGAAATACTAGCATCATATGTGGGCTCCTCCTTTCCAGTGATACATTTATCTTCAAAACTGCCATGAAAGAGGGCCATATGTACTTTGAGAAAAGGTTGAGAATTTTCTTCATTGCTGAATCACTGCAAAAAAAAAAAAAGATATAATGAACTGAAATTACCCAACCAAAGAAGACAAGCTGGCAGGATAATTTAACACAGCCCTTTATGGGATGTAAGAAATCAATTTGATACTGCTTTTTTGAAAATAATATGACATTAACTGAGCACTGAGTGTCTGAAAGCTGAGGAGCCTCAGAGTCCCTGCCTGTCTCGGGAGTTTCTGCACTTGCCAACAAGTCACTTAGAACCTGTGGGTTTTGATTTGCACATCTCAAAGGAGAATGGGTGATATATTTCAGTGAAGGCACAAACAGTGTGTGCTGATTTA